GCTCATAATGGAGATCGTGGTGCTATCATCAACTTTCTCATCTCTTCTTTCTATTTGGATATCAACTGAGAGAATCTTTTCTTGTTGATTAGGAAGGACCTAACCTCAAAGTTCTAGCTTATGTAGGGTGGGCACATTAGCACAAAAAAGGAATATGTAAACCGAGCGAGAAGAGATGGTATCAACCTAATAGTTCTAACATATGTAGGGTCGTAAGGGGGAGAGTTCACATCAGCACAACCATCATATATATAAACATTTGGCTTAAGGGCAACATTCTTTCCCAAAGCCTTCCAACAAGTGAATCTTTCAATTCAATAAGAACCCAATAAGGAAAGATAGAATGAAGCATATAAAGTATGTGAGATAGAATAATAATTGATACATAGTTGGACAGAGCTAATCTGATAACAGAATCTTTAAAGACTATAAATCTTTTTTAGCCATAAAAATACTACTTCTAACATTATATTTGGAGTTGTACCACTCCAGATAAGTATGAAATGAATTGGCCTTACTTTTACTCCAATCTATAATCCTAAACAGTCAATCTAAATATTCTCTCTTGAGCATTAATGAAAGACAATTCACTAGGAGACACGGATAACTCAATCCCATCAACGTCTCCCAATCTTGCATGATAAGTGGAGGCAGATTCAACCCCTACATGCTTGACTTTTCTTTCAAAATGAAATAAAAATTGATCCTCATATAGCAACTTGAAAAATGATGGAACATTGCATGGCTCAAATCTTTGTGTTTCTACGACATCAATGGAATTATCAATAAACTCTTTTAGGTACTCCTTTGGAATGTCTAAAGTCTTCAAATATCCAATATAATCACTAAATGTGATATTTTACAACAAACCGGGTTCAACTGCTGCTAACGGGCTGACCACTCCGTTTCCTATCCCGTAGACATCTTATGGGTTTATAGTTTTCATTGGTTTGGCTGCAGATAAATTCACTATTACTTGGTTAAAAGAATTAGTGCGTGGAATCAGAAGTTAGCTATAAGTACCACCTTTTCCTGTAGTTTCTTTAAATACTTTCAGTCCCATCCTTGCAAACCCAACCAAGAATACACCACTACAACAATACTAACACAAGAATACTAACACATAATAGGATATGTTAATTTGATTACCTGTAGTCATTATAGCTGATTTTATAGCAGCGAGAGAACATGTGGGTTGTATGGACTTGACATACGCGGCAACACCGGCAACTACCGTTGTTGCCATTGATGTCCCGAAAGAAATCATGTATCCTGAGTATTGATCGCACTCGGGAAGCCCAAATCTCCCTTCGCTCGATGGGCACACATAGTCAGCACAGAGAATGTCATCCCCGGGTTCACATATATCCGGCTATAAATAAAATTACCAACACTTATTGTAGTTACAATAGTAAATATAAATAAATAAAATTATACAAGAACTATAGAACATAGAAATAAGAAACCTGGTACCCAAACTGTATTAAAAAAATATTACGAAACAATATAAGAACACATTTAACCTTGAGAGAATCCGGGTATGCTGTGCTAGGACATTTGGACGTGTAGTCCGATAAGACGTGGTATTCTTCTTCCACATTCTCAACCACTTCACCAGTGGATATGCTAACCATGAAAACATTCCTGAAAATTACAATTTATTTTTTTAATCGAAAATTGCAGATTAATCATGAAAATTGCATATTAATTTTCAAATCAGAAATTACATGTAGTCCTGAAAATTCATACATTAGCCTATTTTTCCTTCCAATGTAGCCCTTTATTTTTTGGCTATTGTTTTCAGTGACGTATGCACAAGGCAAACAAGTGACCTCACAATGAGTTTTTTTTCATTTGCTATTAGGACAATAAGCCCAACAACACTAGCTTCTTTTGTTTTAATCCGCGTTTATGACTTAATGGGGAAATTAAGATTTTCCCTTCACATCTAGCACGTTCAAGAATAAAACGTCTGCCCCTGCAAATAATTGAAATTTTCATTAAGTTTACAACAATGTTCTCACAATATGTTAAATTACCATTTTGAAGTTGCATCTTTGTGGTAAACCAAAGAACGTAACATAATTTTGTTTCTGTGAAGGGATTAACTGAGTACCCCTTCAATTAATTAAAATACACATTAAAAGGTAAGACAAATATTATAGTTAATTATATGTCACCTCAACAATTTCGTTGTTCCCGAGCTTTATCAGCATTCGAAACGTGTGCTTTGAATTACCGAGCTTTATTAGTGAATAAGTCATTTGAATAATGCAATTAAGTTATTGATGGAGAGCTCTATACTAATTGTAAAAAATTTATAGTGATTTTTTAACATTAGTGGGGAGGTGGGGTCTAAAAATCATTTGGGGACTAAATGTAATAACCCACATACGTAGTACTTATTTTATGTTCTTGATTTTACTCAAAAGTATGAATTTAAAAGAGTGTGAAGTCATGAAGATATAATCTGTTTACACCCCTGCAACGCACGGGTGGAAAACTAGTTTTAAAATATGAAGAATAAAAGAAACTAAGTAAAGGAAGGTTTGATTAGCTTAGTAAATTAAAAATAAGAGTATAAGACATAAAATGGGACAGGGGAGGCAGGAGCTCTGTTTGCCTGAAGTGTTTTGCTTTTTTTTTTTAATCCCGAGAACCACCTTGTTAGGTGTGATAAATGTCGGGGAACATTTATCAAATTTTATTAAAGTTGAGTAGAATGTACAAAATAACTATATACAATGGGAAATAAAAAAAATAAAGAAGACCACAAAATGGTCATGCTAGCAGAGCCCGTTCAAATGGGCCTATTGTGGGGTTGAGGGAATAGTTGTAATCGGTCCAAAAAAAGGAATGTATGTCGGGTGAAGCATAATAAAGCCAAGCAATAAGATTGAAAACCCTAGAGGCTCTTTTCAGTGTGCGAGTGAGGAGAGAGAGGCGGTGGAGGAAGTTTCTTCCGATGACTTCCTCAGCCCATATCGCGGATCGGATTGTCACCGTCTCCGCTCGGCCTGAACGTCGATACCCCTGGCAAGATGGAGCATCCAGGTGTGTTGCATCCTCCGTCGCTTCTCCAGTTGGTAGCGTTCCGTGTCTGCATGTCTTGCCTGAAGTGTTTTGCATAAAACAAAGTTGTTACTTATTCAGAAATTGTCCTAAATATGAGTAAAAACATTTTGAAATTCCAAAATAGGACTATCATGTTTTTTATTCCCTGAATAGGAGTAATCTGCCGAGTTTGGAAAAAAATGCCATGTTTAAAGCTCAGTAATGCCAAACTTGGCAGAAATTTACTCCTATTCAGGGAATAAAAAACATGATAGTCCTATTTTGGAATTTAACGTTTTTAATTACTCCCGTTTAGGGAATTCTCTCCTACTTATTAAATAGCATCTCAAACACAAAAAGTATCATAATTGCATCCCAAATCACTCGGTTCCCAAAGGATAGAAAACACAGAGCTATGAATTTATCAATCATTAGATTTTCACATCAAAAGGCACATATAAAACCTTTAATTACAACATGGATTGGTGGTTCTTTAATTGAAAAGGCACATATAAAACCCACATTTTCATTCACTAAAATATAAATAAATTTCAAATTGGAGTGACGCAATTCTTCTTGTAACCCACAAAGAATATATAGGTGATAAATAACACTCGTTTTCATGCATAACCTCATGCTTAGAAGAGGTAATAAATTCACCCAATTTAAAAAAAACTCCATTTATTTTACGTGATGAAAAATAAATGATTACATACCCCCCATCAATTTTACAAATTTTTAGTGTTTTACAAAATGATAGAAATTGAATATAGAAGTCTCAAGCGACTCCGTCTATTTTACAAATAATTGGCGACAAATAATATATACTAGGCATTTGGATTTTTTTTAGTGAAATCATGAAATTTGTTGAAATATCTTTTACATAAATTTAATCATTTACAGAAAAACCATTTCAAACATCAACATAAAATACAAAAAGCAAGACTGATTAAGCTATTGGAATTCATATATCAACAAAAAATCTCATCAGTTCAATCAAGAAATGAACCCAAACTTCCAAGAATCTATGTCGGTGAGGTACCCAGAAGCTTCTAAGGTAAGCATTTCTGTTGGTAGTCTTGTCCGGTCAAGCGTAAGTTAAGCATCTCGTTGTTCTTTACTAGCTGACTTGGAAGTGTCTAAAAATAACCGATTAAATTTGAGTATCATCCTAACAATCACAATCGAAAACATCCAAACTTTTGTTCTCTACTTTGGCTGGTTGGCAAGATTGGGAGAAAGGGTAGCGTCTCCTAGTCATATGGCCGGATCCGATGAGGTAGTACACACAGAGTCTTAAATAATAAGAGTATAATAGGAATTAAAGATGTTGTAATTTATTACGGAAACTTGGTGAGTTTAGATAGTAAATAGGAGGCTGCATATAGAGTTCCCCTTCTTTATTATTGGGACAAGAAATCACCGAAGCCACCCATAAATAGTAATAGAACTCTGGGAAAATTCCATCTGGTTATATGAGTTCTTACCCCTTGATAATTTATACTGCGGTTAGGAGTAGAGTCAGGGCGACACTGAGTCGGATGTGAATATGTGAATGTCTTATATAGAATAGTCAAGAATAAGAATTAGTTACACACATAGAATCGAAAAAAAATGTAGAATAATTCATTTCAACCAACTCCGAGCCTAGTAGAAGCAAGTCATATGGCCAAGCCAGCAGCAATAACGACGGAAGCACCAGAAATGAGTGGACTCATTAATAATCCTTCGTAAATAACTTGCTCAAGATTGCTCAAGATTGGATAACCTAAGCCATTTTTTAATAAATGATCTTTGTCAATCAGACTAGATGGAATTTTCTGCCTTTCTTTTCATTTGGATCCAAGGTAACCATCAGTTTAAAGTCAAATTCATCTCCTTCCATACCTCACTCACTGATGTTGTTGTGATCGGTTCGTTTAGATCATTAGATGTGAAGTTAGAATCTCATTTTTAAAAAACTTTTTAAATCACTTAATTATTAGATTGCACGTACAAACTATATTATATTGGGTGAAAAGAAAGAGAATTGATTACATATACATACATATATGAAACATAGAACATCATTGATTAACACAAAAAGAAAGGATACAAAAAAAGTTGATCAAACTCTTTCAAAGAGATGATGAGTGGGAGTGGGCAGAGTTCATTTGCCAAACGTTAACAGACGCTGTAACAGAGGAGGTTGTAGCGTTGTTGAAGAGGAAGAGTTTGGCGTTATCATATATCGCCTTGGTTGGGTAAACTCTTGATGTTATGCAACTCCTCCCTCCTTGAGCAAAACTTTCCACTATTGAATGGTCCACCTGTGCACAATTTTTTTTAAATACAATAGTTTCAGTAATTAGCTACACACGTTACACTACTACATTTGAAAATTTAAATACTTATAAAGCATTAATTCATAAATATAATCAGGATTTTCTTAGGGTACCACTCAAATATAATTCATGGGTAACAACATGGCTAATATTACCAAATATTCAAATATTGTCAAAATACTAGCTATCTTGTAGAATGTACTAAATAAAAGGAAATTTCTAGAAATAGAAGTATACATAATCCAAAAAATATGAACGTTATGTTTCTCCCTAAAACATAGTAAATTATTGTTATCTTGATGTCATAGTGTCATATTTTGGTATGTTTCCCAAATAAGAGTAGATTATTGCTATCATGATATCATAATGTCATACTTTGACACTACTATACATTATATGATAATATTAATATCATATTTTTGGAGTAATTTAAGGTATATAAATATAATGTTGATAATTTGTAGTAACTTATAAGGTATCTTACTTTTAATTACTTTTATTTGGAGTAATTTAAGTCATCTAACAAACATCATATTGTTTATGTAATTTAAGGTATATAAATATAGTGTGGACAATTTGTACTTTGAATGTTTTTAATTGAACTGTTTTCGGTCTCAGGCTTGATTAAACTAACTTAAAAAGATGGATCAAAGTAGAAAATTATAGTCCAATTAAAACTTTTTTGTGTGTATGGATGGATTCATAAATTAGTGGGTTATGGGGAAGGTAGATATAAGGGATGAAATATTTTTTTGGGATAAAGTTTCAAAATGTGCATACCAGTATTCTCATTGTAAGCTTTTCAGCATTCAACCATGTCACATGACTTCCATGAATGGGCTTGAGCACATCGGTAGCTCGAGAGGACTTTAAGTGGTCGGCGCAAAAGAACGTTGTTAGGTTTCCATTCACGTCTTTCGCTATGTAGAAATAAATGGGGGTCTGCTCCGACAACTCATTGTCCGTCAAAACCAGCAAACCAAACGGCCCTAATGCGCCGCGTTCGGCGGCTCCGCCGTGACTGCTGCAACTGTAACTTTCAGCGTTCCCTTCTGTTCTCTCCAAGGCGTCTCTGTCCACTTCGAATTCAGCCACAATATCCACCTGTTTGTTTTACAAAAATATTAACTTCTAAGAATATAAAAAGCTTTGCTTCCAGAATATAAAAAGCTATTACGGAGTAATAATATAATATAAGATCGAGTATAAAGTTTGGAGCTTAGTAAACAGCTTCTATGATTTTTTTAAAGTGATTTTGGAAAATGTGTTTAATAGTAATAGTTGAAAATATTTAAGAAAAAAGTGATTCTGAAAAAGTAAAAAAAAACTGTCATCTTTTAGGATTTTTTTACCTGGACTGTAATGTGTCATAGACCAGATCAGACGTGGACAATTGTAGAAATACAAAGATACCAGACCAGACCAGACCAGACCAGACCAGACCGACAAATTTCAGTCCACGTAAAAACATCCTTAGTAGTGTTTGATAACATAAATATTTTTTATGTAATAGAAAAAATGAAAAGTAGTTTAAAGCACCCCTCAACCCGCTTTCAACTTTTAGCTTTTAAGAGATTAATTTAAGCAGAAACTGTCACTTGAAAACACTAATTTCAGCTTTTTAAACCTAAAAAAGAGAAGCGTCTTTTTTAATTTTTGCAAACACTTCTTAAAACAAATCCAAATGAAAAGCATTGTAAAGCAAGACTCTAATTATTATGGGACGCATTTTGTTATTCAATAAACTAGTCTTACAATTTGGAATAATTCTAGATGCAGATTGTTGAGTACTCCCTATGATATACGTTGTTTAATCAATACTACTACGTATTAGATTATTGCGGTAATCATAGATTACCACCAAACTTATTATTGGGGTAATGTGATTATTTTTAATGTTTAAAGTAAAGTGAGATTAACACGATAATGTTATATAATGCTTTAATAGTGTATTCTCCCAATTTTTTAATAGGATTGATATTTTCTACTCCGTATTTAGTTTGGTCTGATCTCACATTGTCTGGTCAAATTTGTTTATGTTTGATTTAGTCTTATCGATGTTTGATCTAAATGTATTTTATACCTATTAAGTATGATCTAATCTGATACTACCTTCATCCCTTTCTATTTAGCCAACTTTGACTTTTCCAGTCAAGGATGATAAACTTTGATCCATTATTTTAACTAATATATTTATGAAAAAGTTAATAAATTTATACTTTTCAACAAAGAACATTTTCATATAATTTCCATATTATCAATATTACCGTGTATAAATATACAATTGATCAAAGTTGAACAACTTTGACTTGAAAAATAGTGTTTGACTAAATAAAAAGGGACAGAGGGAGTATAATATATATATATATATACACACGAAGTGTATATGTATATATATATATATATATGTGATCTATTCTGATTTACTAGAATTTAAATTAGTCGAAAACATCCTAATAAAACATAATTTTGGTGAAAGTGATTACATTGTCCAAGAGAACAAGTATGTTGTGATTTGTGAATCACCGCATGCCACCTATCAATTACCAGTTACCATTGACCGTCGCACTCGTAGACGGTTTCATAAGATTTGGAAATATTATTTTTAGTGACTTTTCTTCCTATCCAAAGCAAAAACGTTAGTCGTTTTCTTTTCCATTTTCTGCTGAAAGATTCAAACATCCACCATCATATTTAGAGAAAAGATGGGAAAAGAATCTCTGGTGTAGAATCAAAAAGTTCTTCCAAAAGCTCAAGGCTCACGTAATGAACTGCACAACCACAACCTCCAACAACACCCTCACATAAATACATTGAATTTAATTAATGAATTCCATAAAAGAAGACCACGTGAATTCTGTAAAGAAGAGTGATTGGCCGCTAGAACATGGGCCGCCCGTGTTTGGGCTCCACATTATCTCATTCAATATTACCTCCCCATTGAACAGCAACAACTCATTTCTTTTTTATCCAAACAATTAATAATAATAAGAATAAAATAAGGGGATTGGAAGTAAGTTCTGACCTGGTTAGCTGGACCCACATCTAGTGGCACTATGGACCCTGGCTTCACCACCACCTTAGCAAACTCATTCTTCTGTGTTCTCAGCTTCTCCACTTCTTGTACTGGCCACAGCTTCAGATTTTTCCCTGTTTTTTCATCGAATACAACTGTCCTTGGAATGGACTGTTTCGCATGTGCAATAATTTATTCATCACAAATCAATTAAAAAATAAATAAATACAGAGTAACATTAAAATAGCACTTACTGCCACACAAATGGCCCTCTCGTATGTAAATTTTAAACAAAAAAATCCAAAAAGCAATAGATAACCATCTTTTACTTAAACTTTTATCCATATCCCTCTAACTATAATGAGCTTTCAACTTGTGACATCCCTTTAAGAGTGTCACAATAATTGTATAGAAGCACAAAGTGGTTTTCTAAACTGCTTTTGAAGGAAGTGCTCAAAAGTAAAACTTGGCGGATCTACTCTCAAGGTAATGGGGGCACTTACCCCTAATAAACTCCAATTTTTTTATTAAGTAATATAATAATTATGTATCTATAAAAATAACTGCCCCATTAAATATTTTGTGATGCCCCCAATAAAGTAATTACATTACCTCATATTCCGTATAACATTTAAGTTATAACATTTTGTGATCCCCGGCCCCCTCCCCCAGACCCCCGGAGTAAAATAAATAAAAAAATAAATAAATAAATAATATGCTATGTAATTATATGTAGTACTAAGTGCGTTCCACTCAACTCTGCCAAATACTATTCTATTACTTCATATGTTTCTTAAAACTTTGCTAATTTTGCTTTTATGGTTGTCTCAATAATTTTGTCATTTTCCCTTTTTAGTAAAGAATTTGTGATTTCAGACAATTCTCTCTCTCTTTTAGTCTTCTTTGGCCTCTTGTAATTGTTGTAATGGATTCATCTTTTAATAAAATTAGGTAAATGTCTCCCCACATTTACCGCACCTAGGTGGTGTTTTCTTTCGGAAAAAAAGACAATTCTCTCTCATCTGTACAAATTTCAACCACATAGTTTTTACTTTATTCATCTCCTTGCCGATCAAACTTGACAAAGTTAAAAGGAACAGAGGAGTAAAATAGTAAAAAATGTGTGGTTGAGATTCGTGCAGGGAAGATAGAATTGAACAGAGTGACAAGTTCATTGCTTTAAAATGAAAGTGACAAAGTTTGAAGAAACAAAATAGAAACGTTAACAAAGTCCGGAGGGAGTGACGGAGTGTAAGATAGCACCCCAATACATATTTTTCCTGGATCCACCACTGGTTTGAATTTTGAAAAAAGCGTTCTTAGTATAATAGAAACAGTGAAGCACAATTTAGATTTTAGAATAACTTTTCACCTGCTTTTAGAAACAGTGAAATATAAAATTCAACTTAGGATGTTTTTACTTGGACTGTAATCTATCCCAGACCAGACCAGTCAGATCAGATTAGACTAGGTCAGACTTGGATAGTTATAAAAATACAAAGAAATCAGACCAAAACAAACCAGTTCAAACCAGACCAGACCATTCCAGCAAATTATAATCCAACTAAAAACATCCTTAATCTTTTATGATAATGAATGAAATTATGTTTTAATCTGGCACATACCTGAAGAGATGCCCAACCCTTCTGGACGTCAGACGATTCGCTATCAGTCTCAGTAATCCAACCCCACAGAATTCTCCTCTTCGTTTCCGGGTCATAAAACGTCTTCGACGCATAAAACGTCCCGTAATCGTACCTCATCCCGATCCCCACGTCGATCGCCGGATTGTCCGGGGTCCATTTCCCGGCCACCGCGTCGTACGTCCCGAGGGCATAGTAGTCATTCCGGTCATCATCGAGGCTCGACTTCAGCACGTGCTTCACGCTGGGGCCGTCGTCCGACGTGTCCAGCCCGTTTTCCCCCAATCTGGACACCGGGTAGAAGTCCACGCATTCCCACATACCCGTACCCGGAACCCCATGGAGCGCCCCGTCCAGCAGCTCGAAGCTCTTGAAGTCCTCCGTGTCGTACACCAGAGAGATCCCGGTTTTGTTGACCTTTGACCCGATGGTGATTCGCCACTTCCCCTCCGGGGTGGCCCACGCGGTGGTGGGGTCGCGGAAATCCTTGCTCCCGATTCCGGGCGGGGGGACAAGGACCGGGTTGCCCTCGTACTTGACCCAATCGAGGAGGAGCGGGTCGGCCGGGTCGGCCGGGTAGGCGAGGTTCTGGACCTGGACTGACTCGTTGGTGGAACCGGTGTAGAGCATGACGAGGCGGCCGTCGTTGAGGAAGGTGGCGGAGCCGGTCCAGACGCCGTTGATGTCGTACCAGTGGTCGAAGGTCATGGCGATGGGGAGGTGGAGCCAGTGGATTAGGTCCCTCGACACGGCGTGGCCCCACACAATGTTGCCCCATATTGCGCCTTCCGGGTTGTACTGATAGAAAAGATGGTACCATCCCTTGTACAACAGTGGACCTAACCACAATTAATTAATTAATTAATTATTGCGCTGTTACAAAGTAAATTAAAAGTAAAAAATCATTAAAAGGAATTGATTGAAGATTATTCAGTTATATTAAAATGGAAAGCACTTGTCGTGATGACCTGGGTCATTGTTATGCTGACTAGGCTACTGATGGCTATTTGTCTTTATCTATTTAATTATCATTATTCTTGTTTTATTCCGTTGCCGACTCTTTAATTACAAGTTACAACCATATTATAAAAATAAATAAATATTCCCTCAATCTCATTTTGTAAGATATGTTTTCTATTCAATTGATCAACACAAATCACTCTTAATCTCTTATTTTATATATCAATTTTTTATCAAATTTGAATTTGGTTTTAACGATTTTGTAAAGCTTTTAATGTAGTTTATAAATATGTAATTTTTTTTCTAAAAATAATTTGAGTGCAGACAGAGACCTGTTTACTTTATTTTCTGTCGAACATCGTAAATCGTAAAGTGTCTTACAATTCGAGACGGAGAGAGTAAATTGACAGGTTTAGAAAAGTGGTAATTAAAAAAATTTAATAAACAAGGGTAATTACTATCAATTTAAAAAATGAGTTGTGCTATAGGTACCTCATTTTGGGTACCCATTTTTACCTCACACATTTGGTCCAAATGAGGTCACACTTAAATGTGTTGCCCCACTTAAAAGTGTTGTCCCATTTATGGCCACACAATAGGGGGTAAAAATGGAGTACGTTTAGCATTTCTCTTGAAAAATATTGTTACTTCTGAAGGCCGTTAATGTCAAAATATGATAGTAAATTTTTAGAACTAACTACTCCCTCCGTCCCCCTAAGTTTGTCCCGTTTTACCTTTTTCGTCCGTCCCATTAAGTTTGTCCCATACCATATTTGGTAATGTTTGGGTGGCTACAATTCATTTTTACACTATTCACACTTTATTAATTTAATATCAACCACACATATCTACTTTTTCTTAAAAATCCCACCACACCTCTTTGTCCCAAACATAGGGGGACGGACGTAGTAATAAAGAGTAAGAACTAGGAGGGTGTCTTGCGCATCGGACGGGAGGGGAGCGGCCAACACGGCCTCGAGATCGGCGAAAAAGTAGTGTCCAAGATATCCGACCGTTGAATTATCGATCGGACGACCGGGAGGAAGCAAGAGGCTCCGGATCCGTAAGAATAACACGCATGGTAACTCAATTTTAAAATTTACAAATATTTTGTGGGGACAAAGTTACAATGTTGACCGTTTTACTATAGAGAGTCAAAAAACAGACCTATCCAAACAAAATTACAAAGTTGACTTGAGAAGTCTTGACTGATGCTCTGTGATAGACTTAATGTCTTAATAAGATCGACTTTTATACGTTCAAAATAGGAATCGTCCGAGAGTAAAACACAGCGTATAAGAAATTAAACATGATTTCTACAATTGAGATACATCGTGAATTGAACTTCAAACGTTCATAATAAATACAGCCAATTAAATCAAATTCTATTTTTTTCAGAAATGAAAAACAAAAAATAATCAAATTTGTAGAGATCAAAAGTTTTATAATTGAGAGTCTATATAACACCGTGAGAAATGTATAGTTGAAAACAATTGGTGAATAGATCTCAAATAACACCGACATCCATCGTGAATGTATAATCACTATGGTACTTGTGTCTCTCTGTATATGGAGTTATGGTTTACCTCGAATTGATTAATTTTAATAAGTCCATCATTCATGGATAATCGAATAATTATTGATCACTTTTATTATACATAATAACTAGCCTTAATTTAACACTCCACCTATTTTTGTCGTTTCGTATAATTCAAAATTAATCCGCTAATTTTTTAATCATTTAATTTAAAATTTAGCTATGACTCATTTTGGCGTGTTCTAATGTGATCGTTTTTTTTGCATATCCTTCTAAACCTATTATAATATATACTCTAGTTAATGTTTGATTTGATATGATGTAATAAATAAAGTTAATAAGCCTTTCAGGCGTCGACCTTCTTTTGAAAACGCATGTTTCATTTTTTGTTCTAAATTAATTGTCAATTTTGGAGAACTTTTTATTTATAATGCATATCCTAATTTCCCTTTCCACTAATATAGTGCAAATATATTCTTCTTACTTTGATAGATCATAGAATGTTTAAGCAACCTTAGCTAAGTTTACGTCTTTATCAAAAAATTGGGACGTACCTCATTGATTATTCTCGCGAACAATAAAATAACGATTTTCTATACAATCAAATGAGTAAAAATTTAAATTAAGAGAAATTAGTTCTTACCATTTGGATCTGGATCAAGGACATTCCACCATCAAATCAATGCCAGCAAGACAACGAAACATATCCAAAAAAACATGGACCATGTTAGCATGTTCGATGAAATAATTATATTGATCAATATTTGTATATACTACGTATATCCAACACTGAAAATATTCCTTTATCTGCCGGAACTTTATAGTTTAAACGATATTATATAAATGTCAATTTGCATAAGTTTTACAGTTGACTACAAATATAGTGAAGTGAGCATAAAATACAACTTCCTTCCCATGCACTGTGGTTTATCTTTATATTTTAGTTATGCCATCTTTATTCTCTACTCGCATACAAAAAATAGGATAATTGACCATTAGCCAAATAATAGTATTTACTTACAAGTTGAACTTAATGTCACAATTATTATTGCTCCTAAAAGAACAATGTATATAATGGTGGGGAGATTAATTTAATCAAATATTTCAAATAATAGACCTAAAAGCTAATATCACGCAAAATCTAATATTGGTGTAAGCAGCCAGATTGTACTGATTAAACAAATCCTTCATCATAGAGTTTCGCCAAATGATTGGATTTGACACTAGTTTCTATGTATAAGTGTATTATATTTTCATGTGAAAGCTAAAAACATAATTAACCAAGTCAGTAAAGTACTCCGTAAAATAATTATTTACCAAATAAAATATCAGACTTCGCACCTAGGGTAATTTTAATTTCATGCTAATTTAAATGATTTGAATATTCTCTTTTTTTTGGGTAAAAAATTGAATATTCTCTAGAGCACTATGAAATGAAATGACTTATTTGCATAGAACTTTATGCATACTAATGATATTCATACTCCGTATTTAAATGCATCCTTCTTCTGGATAATCCTATCTCATTAATCTATATAGTGCAAAGTTAAATAAAACAAAATATGAAGTATAGATTTCGAATTCGAAAACCAATATGAGATCTTAATTAAAGTTCAATTTCAGTTCCAAAAAAGTGGTTAACTTTATTAAATAAATATGTACCATTCATCCAATTCTTTTGGGGTTGAAAGTGGTATGCACTTCTTTGCCAACCCAACATCTGGTTGTCCCACGAAAACGCAACCTGCCGCAATAGATGGCCATTTGACTTGGCGGAGACACCGTCGGATACACCACGCGCCGTCGTCGACGGTGACGAGTGGGGCAGGGAAGAAGCTACCTTATTGTCATTTAAGATCGCATTCTTGTAATCCGGCGCTGCCACGAGCAGCAATGCCAGGGCTAGCATCCCCACGACCAAGACGGAGATGGTTTTGGTGGACGACCACCGGCGTCTCACGGCGGCGTCACCCAACAAAGGGGTGGCCGGAGTTGCCGCATAACTCGAATCTCTGGAGTGGGTAGCCATCGTTGTGGATGACCCTTATTTTCCTATATCTATTCACAAATGTATGGATGAGTTTGGCACTTCAAACATATATAGAGACAAATTCAAGACAGGGACATATGGTTCAGAATAAATGCCAAAATTAATTTAATAGAAAAGGAATAGAACGAAAAATACTTCTATATCGAGAGTCGAGACAAATGCCGACCAGTAAATCACATCTGTAAATCTTACTTTCACTTCGCAAGTAATGTGATAGATTGATTAATTAATTTAACAAGTTTTTTAGAACTAGAATTCACGAACAAAAATAATGCATGAATTTCATTGAGCGTATACCATCATTTTTTAACATGTTATTAGTAGTTCCCGCATTGATTTGGATCGGAAATTAAAAAGGAAATATATGATTGTGGTTGAGTAATAAAAAGATAAATGAATGGTAGCCACAAAAAACTTTCTAAAAAAATGGGAACTATTTTTTGGGACGATCCAAAATGGAAACTGAGAACTATTTTGCGGGACGGAGGGAGTATTATACGTAGTATATAGAGACTACGGTACAAAATGTTGCAACCCTATTCTCCGTAAAATTCTCAACAAGAGGAATTGAATGTGAATTCTCTTCAAACAATGGTTGTTTCTTTTGTTTCCGTTTCTCTAAGCGTGCGGATATGTTGGTTCAGGTGAATCATTAAATTTCATCTTAGTTTCAAGAATGTAATTTAGTCGACTTGAGATTTCTTTGATGAGGCCATCCATTCGTGTCCTATCAGCAAGGATAGATATTCAGGGGTGTTTGAATCTGATTCTCAAAACTGATTTTGCTCCTTCAAGGAGCAGAAGCAAAAACTGAAGTGTTTGGGTGAAATTGTAGAAGCACTTCTGGTGCTCTAATTTACTCCCAGAATCAGTTTTTTTAGAAGCTGGGAGTACCAGCTTCTGAAAACTGATTCAGATTCAGCTTCTGCTTTAAAAAAGAAGCAGAACCAGAATCAGTTCCAAACACCCCTCAGAAGGAAACCTACTGTGTAATAGTGATTGGTGTTTGCAAGTATGCTTTCGGTGTCAAAAGTGAAGGCATGATAGAGAACGGGATGAATAAGGAGTAGGGTGTGAAAGAAGATGCAGTATTATTGGTCCGCCCGCCTCTTGATCGAACCACCGCCATGGAGGGATCGTGTGGCTAGGATTTGGAATTTTGGATGACATCTCTTCAAGATTGGTTTTGTCTGATCTGTACGCGGTTTATTGTTGTATATTTCTTTTCAGCCTTGATTATGTTTATTTAGACCTTTTATTTTGTTCTTGGTTTGTTTGTGTTAATTAGTGGTTTTTCTGAAGTGCTTATAGCCTAAAGCCGTTATTTGTCTCAAAGCTTCCGTATGTTCAATGAAAATTTTTGCTACTTTGAGTTTGTTGATGTGGTAAAGAGTACGGTGACCTTAAGGATCAAAAAGAACTTTATGTTGCCCGTTCGGTGGTGAGCGATTCACTTTGCTTCTTTGGAGGTGACCGTCTTAAAATCTGATCGAAGAAATTTTATTGTGTTTAGACGATGAAGTCTTTTAGAAAACAGTTGGATTTCAAGTTATTGGCTGATTGTAATTATACACCATTGATTATTAATATAATTTGGTATTTTTCTTTTTTTTTTAAAGTACAAAACTCACATTTTTTTCACCCCGATATTTTATTTTAGTACTACTTCCGTCCCATATTGGTTAGTTGTCCACTTTCAATTTGGTACGATTATTAATAAAGTGGTTGAAAAGTAAAGTTGTGGTTGAGATTTGAGTAGAACAAAGTAAAATGATAAAGACCACATATTTCTTGCCAAAAACGAAACAAGACATTCATTTTGAGACAACCCAAAAAAGAAGTAGGACAACCAAAATGGGACGGGGAATATATTCATCATTATTTTTACATTAAACACTATGAATTTAACTAGACTAGCTCTAACGAAATAAACAGATGGGAAAATGTGATAAAGTTTCTATGAGCCGTATATACTCCCTCTGTCAAAACAACTTTTTACTTTCCCTTTTACTCGTAACTAAATAATATTCTTATTTCTAAATATGGAAATAAAGATACACCAATTTTTCTATTCAACCCTCAATGTTTTGAAATTCTCATTATACCCTCAATAATTTTGTAAACAGTCCTGAATTTAGAATATTGCAATTACTTTTTTAATTTATCCTTCACTTCTCCACACTATTCTATCAATTGTAAACCATAATTTATTTATTTTTATTTTTTTGGGTTTGAGAGCAAAACAATCGAATTTTTATGCATGTTTTCCCTCACTGTTCACAATCTCACCAACTTCTGACATGGGAAGATATTATTGTTATACAGAGAGTATATCTTCCTGGTCACTATTAATATATATTTACAGTCACTATAGAAAAAAAGGAATAAAATTGAACTCAATTATAAAAATTAATAAAACCTTATTTTTTTTGTAAATAACAAATTAAATCTAAACCAGACCGAATAAAACTAAATCAAACATACTGTGATTTTTATTTGATAATCATTGTTTCGGTAAACTCCGCCATGAGATCATTTTTTGGTATCATGTCTGTCCCAAGCCAGGATAAAGGAGGAGGGTGTTTTGGTAGGCGTGTGACAGACAATAGTATCACTAAGTCACATCACTTGACATGAATCGAAATGTGAGAATCGCTACAGCTAGGTCGTCGCCCGTAAGCGACGCGTCATCCTTCCGCCTGGGGGTGGTGTCAAATATGCAAGGGCGCGCTACACTTCATAGACCTGAGTGTGGTGATAAGAATGCTAAGGATGCTAGGTCGTCGCCCGGAAGCGACGCGCCATTCCAATGCCTGAGGATGGTGTTAAATATGCAAGGGCATGGTGGGAGTTGATGTGGTGTGAAGAAGAAAAGACAGGGTGCTAGATTGCGTTTTGGGACATGGAATGTTGGCTCTCTTATGGGAAGATCATCTGAGATTGTTGGTCCCTGATAGAGGTAAAAGTCTAGAGGGGGGGTGAATAGACTTTTTAAAGCTTTTTCAACTTTAAAAACTTTCCCTTCTAGATGAGTTGATCTTTAATCTTTTGGGAGATTAATAGATACACAGCGGAAGTCTTTAGCCTCTAGTTGTTCACTGTATAACGCTTTTTCAACTTTTGGACTTAAATAGAAAGCAATAGGTTTGGCAGTTAACTTGGCAGTTGGCTGAAAGTAGGAAACTGCTGAGGCAACTGCTAAGGAGATATTGACTGTATGATGAAAGTGATGATGGAATGTTGTTTTAGGATGATGAGGGTTGTCTGAAAAGATGCTTTAGTGAAAGCAATCCAAAGCTTTGCTAGAGCAGTGGTCTCGGCAGTTAGGTGATAATGAGGAAACTGCTGAGGCACCTGCTTAGATTACAAGCTGATTTTCAGAGATCACTTTATGTAATCTTCTTAGTGATAAAGTTATATGAGCCTTGGTGATGTTGAGATGTTTAAGGGAATAAGTGTGTATGAGCAGTAGTCTGAGCAGTAGGGTGGAAACCAGGAAACTGTTGAGGCAACTGCTTTACTTCAAAGATAATTTCCTGAGATCGGATAGAACAGACCGCTTAATGATGATATTGTAAGGATTTTGTGGAAAGATTTGTCTCAAAGAAAGTAAGCAATTGAGCAGTAGGATAAGCAGTAGGGTCAATTAAGACTACTGCTTAGGATGCTGCTGGCAAACTACGATCCTTTTAGTGAGATGTGTTGAGTGTGTGCTTTGTTGACTGAATGTAAATCAACACACAGTATATCCTGGTTCAGAGGTGGTGTAATCCTCCTACGTCCAGTCCCACCCTCTTTCAGATGGATTTCCACTAAAGTATTAAGCCCAATACACTTAGTGCCAATCTAGCCTTTACAACACTTAGGCCTAGATTGCAGGTTTTTCACAATGAGTATGACACCACTCAAAGTTACTCAGTCCTTAGACTTTTCTCAAATGATCCAGTGGGGATCAAAATGTACTCTATCTATCTAACTACACTTTAAGATCCGAACAACTGTTCTCCTAAGTGTTTACAACAATGTTTTGTGGTTACAAGAAAGTTCTAACCTCCAACTATGAACTAAGCTCTAAAAGTATGAAAGTGTTGATCTAATCTGAGAGCTTAGTGAAGCATGAGTCTAAGCAGAGAGTAAAGTTGGATTTGCACTTTCTCTTTTGCTAGATATCTCATATATGCTTTGATGGAAGTATTTCTCTACTTAGGATGCTCAAGCTTATCTTTGAACTCATGCTTCTACCTATATTTATAGGCCTCCATAGTTGATTAATCTCATCCGTTGGTTGAGATGAATTAATCCTTGTCGTTGAAAAAATCTGGCAAGGATAAGTAGTACAATTGTCTTCTTGTGCTGGAGACTTTAATGTGGCTATCTCCAATATGTGGCCGCTGGGAGTTCACGTCAAGTGTGCGTCCCATGCTGTAGGTCCATGTACTCGTTTGAGTATTTAATGCTGATCAAATTTTGTCTTCCAATCATACACATTCAATGTATATGGTTTTTCGAGTATCATTAAAATGTGACATTTAATCTTTGAGCCAAATGATATGTACCGGTAGGATCTAAATATCCTTTTAAGGTAAACAAAAATTACCTTATTGCATTTTTACTTTTCCGGTACTATTTCATTAGTCTCAAAAATTGTACATTTATTTTGTCACTTATGATAAAAATAAAGACTAATGTTTCGATATTAATTAAGACACAATGTGATAGTGTAGAGTATAGTGGCATCATCAAAATCTATCAAAACTTGGGTACTAACAGAGATAGCTGAGGTTATGAAAAGGAGGAATGTCAGCATTATGTGCATGCAAGAAACTAAGTGGGTTGGAGAAAAGGCACGTGAGATTAATCCGGAAGTTTTAAGTTGTGGTATTCAGGGAGAGAAAGGAACAGAAATGGAGTAGACATTATGGTGGCACATGATTATGTTGAGGGTTTGGTGGAAGTCTTCAGGAAGAACGACCGCATTATGGGCATTAAGTTGATTATAGGAGATGAG